GTGATGTGGTATGATTGCCAATGAGACAACTATACAATAAAGTTCAAATAAAGCGGATGTAAACAATTATAGGCAACCGTACGGCCTTCAGCAATGAGAAAACCGCATACCGTATAGTCGGCTATAAAAGGCCCCGATATGAAACAAATCAACTGAGAAAACCAACGACCTAACTTATAACAAAATATTTTACGAAAAAACAAAGACAGACATGAATCAACGACATCCACTGAACAACAGGCTCCTGACTTGGGACAGGCACATATAGAATGTGGCGGGGTAAAACATGTTTGAAGGCGCCAACCCTCCCCTAACCCGGTACACTTGTGTAACGACACAAAACAAGAACAACCTATGCAAAACAATGAACGAAAAATACAAATAAAGAAACAACAAAAACTACAACCACTCAAATACAGGCTCCTGACTTGGGACAGGCATATATAGAATGTGGCGGGTTAAACATGTTTGAAGGCGACAACCCTCCCCTAACCTATGACAGTGGTGTAACAGTACAACATACGAACACACTATAAAAATAAGTTGAAAAGCTCATCACATCGATACAAAGCCGAAAAATACATCCAATAAAAACACATTCAGGACGTGGCACGGTATTTATACATCCCTAAAAACAAAAAAGACACAAACATAAAAATAAGAAGATGAGGTATGATTGCCAATGAGACAACATTCCACAAGAGGCTAAAATGACACTGAAATTAACAAATATAGGTCACCGTACGGCCTTCAACATTGAGTAAAACCCATTACGCATAATTAGCTATGAAAGGCCTCGAAATGACAAATGTAAAACAATTCAAACGAGAAAACTAAAGGCCTGATTTATGTACAAAACAACGAACGAAAAACAAATATGATATACAGCAACAAACGACAACCACTGAATTACAGGCTCCTGACTTTGGACAGGCACATATATAATGTGGCTGGGTTAACCTATTTTGAAGGCGCCCCCTCCCCCTAACCTGGGACAGTGGTGTAACAGTACAACATAAGAACAAACTATAAAAATCAATTGAAAAGGGGGTCTCATTTGGGGGGTGGGGGGGGGGGGGGGGGTGGGGGGGTGGGGGGTGGGTGGGAGGTCTGATTCCGGATCCCGCTTATTGTTTTGTCAGATTCCCGAATCCTGCTTATCTTTTTTTTAGTTTCCCATTTCCCGCTTATCAATTTTGACATTTTATTAATAGTCTCCTCACATACAGAAATGTAATTAACATTCACCGATAAGCCCCTTTAACGCTATAAATTTGTATATCCCCTCCATTATTTAAAGAAAATATTGCTACAGTAATATATGTATGTGATAAAGGTTGTCAGTGACTCGCTGAAGGTAGGTGGTTTATTCTGGGCATCCTGATTTCCTGTGCCTTTGAAACTAACTGTCATGAAATTATACGGATTTGAAGAAAATGACGTTAATTTGATGTGATAAACATTCAAAAAGACCTAACCGATGTTAGTGAAGGCGATAGTATTCCATCATTTTCTCTCAGAGTAATATGAACTCCACTGTGTAATAAAATATCGCTAGTTTGGAGAATAACTTTGAATAATAATTTTACGACAGACGACGGACGCAAAGTGATTGTAAACCATCAGCCTTGCTAAAACCAGGTGAGCAAACTATGAAAGGGTTTCAACCAAACCTAAGCACGTCTTTTCTATATAGTGTAGTTGAGCATCCTATACTCCGTTACTTACATGTAATCAAATTGTGTCTCAAAGCAAAATTATCGGACAAAAAGCAAATTGCGGACAAAAAGCACCGTATCAGTCCTCTAAGAAGATATTGGGGAATTAATCAGATTAGAGGGCGGTGATTTTTGTGAGCCACGGCCCACTTGGACCATGTAAGTATTATATTGACAATATAATACTTACATGCTTGGACCTATATCTTATTTAGATTTGATATATTTGCATCTTTTGTGGCTGCTTTAAAGATGAAGAAATGTAAGAATTCAATGTAGCTGCGAATACGAAGCCCTTAAGGTCGCTATTTCATAATTGTTTTTATAATTTTGTGTGAAGTCCAATTATGAAAGGGCGACCCGAAGAGTTACGTATTCACAGCAACATTAAACGTTGAAATCAAGTCGACAAATGACTAACTATAGGAAATTCGGCATGACGTAAAAACTTCAACATTAACTCAATGTTTTTTTTTAATTAAGGTAGCAATTCTGACTGTTTTTTTTATCGAAAAATAGTATCATATGACATTGACTAAAATCTATGACCTGGATTCAGTGTCAGCATTCAACTTTCAATGAAGCTATTCATCGGAGTTCAATCATATGTTTGTCAAATCAATACACAATATGATGTTTTAACCAAACTTATTACTGATACTTATTATGAGGTTGCTATATGCAAACCAAAACTTCGTAGCAAGGCATTTTAAGAAGTTGTGATTCACAATTTATTAAGCAAAGACATGCTACATATCGACAACATAACTAGAAACAAAATATTTCAATATTTGAATTCTTATTAATTTTTGCCAGCGGAGAAATAATAGTTTAATATTTGAAACATATTGGAATATAAATTCTGTTTTAGTAATGAAAATAGTGTTTGTTGCTCTCTTAGTTTTGCCAGCAATACAATTTTGCCTCAATATGAAATACTATATTTTCTCATGTCTGACGTGTTGCTATAGGGCCCCAAGATTTTTGATTCCCAAATGCGTCATTGTACCCCTAATGTGCTTAATATTTTCTTTGAGAATTTAGACATCACGACAGGTGCCACACGTCTGGCAGAGGATGCTTACTCTTCCGGAACAGCTGATGTTATTCTTGGTTTTATGGTCTTCTCGTTTTCCATGCTGTAGGTCTATGTTTGTTTCTTAGTTATTTTTTTTATATACACTTGTTTTGCCATATTAATTGATTATGATTTTGACCCCTCCTGTCGGTATGCTTCACTTGTCCTCAATCGTTTTCATGAATACGACCATCTTTCATTTATCGGAGAAAAGCTGTCATAAAAAACAGCTACATTTTGGCCAAAGCGGGAGAGGCAAAACTTGACAAAAATGCCCCTAAATGAACAAAAATAAATTCCAGAAAAAATGACCGCCTTACCTCTTGAATCCACTCCAGAATTATATACTTACTATCCATGCCAAGTTTGCAAAACATAAATTTTGTTTTTGAATTTCTTCAATATTTCTTGGGCACAGCAATTAGTTTTTCACGGAAGGGACCTTAAAGATATTGCCAAAATGTGTCAATGAAAAATGGTGAAATATGTTTATATATTTGGTTGTGTATATTGTATTGCACATGTGTATGTCTTTTGTCCGTTATTGTGCGTATTTTGTGTTTTAAAGTATTGAATTGAATGGAAGTACATGTATATTTTTTACTGAGACCAAGATTAAATAACGCTACATTTTCAAAATGAATTGTTGTACGGATCCGCCCGACCCGGTCTTTATTACTTTCAGAATGAAAAATCAGACTTCTCAACAGAAGAATCCTGCAACGCACCTCTTGATATTTGGTCTATTTGACTGGATCTTGTTGTTCTTTTTATAATGAGGTATTATGTACAGAAAACATTTCGGAATACAGTTTTCGAAATGCAGAATTCATTAACGGAATTTCGATGATTGTAAACCGTACATACAAACAAGTAACCACTACTTTTGACAACAAATTATGATTTCATGCTTAATACAATTATGATTTTCCCGGATTCCCTGCTAATTTTTTGGTAATTTCACGTGTCCCGCTCGACTTCGTTTCCCGTTTACACGCACAATAATTTGACTTTCACGTGTCACGTTTACCAAAATCGGCCAATCCCGCGACACGCTTAGACCCCAAGGAGACCCACTTGAAAAGGGCTTAACTCATCAGATCGATACAAAGAAGAAATACATCTAACACAGAGTGGACTTGTTCACTGGTGTTAATATGTCCTTTGATTGAGTTAAGCTATTTCAGTTGATATTTTATAGTGTGTCTTTCTATGTTGCGATGTTACACTATTATTTCAGAAAAAGGGTGAAGGTTTGGTACCATTAAAACGTTTAAACCCGCTGCATTTGTTTTCACCTGTCCTAAGTCAGGAATCTGATGTTCAGTAGTTGTCGTTTGTTGATGTGTAAATGTTTCTCGTTTCTCGTTTTTTATATAGATTAGACCGTTGGTTTTCCCGTTTGAATGGTTTTACACTAGTAATTTTTGGGGCCCTTTATAGCTTACTGTTCGGTGTGAGCAAAGGCTCCGTGTTGAAGACCGTACTTTGACCTATAAAATTTTACTTTTATAAATTTTGACTTGGATGGAGAGTTGTCTCAATGGCACTCATACCACATCTTCTTATATCTATTGGCAGGGTACTTATACATCCCCACAATAAAAAGACACTAAGTACAGTTCTGAGAGTACTCGCAGTTACTGACAGCTAGTTCAAAGCCAATAACAACTAATGAAAAAAATCATGCATCTAAGACTAAAATATCAATCAGTGCACATCCAACATCCAATGGATTTAGTGTAAAACGTCAGTACAGATCTGAGAGTACTCGCAGTTACTGACAGCTAATTCAAAGCCAATAACAACTAATATCAATCAGTACTCATCCAATATCCAATGGATTTAGTGTAAAGACGTCATTAACAGCCAGAGGCAATAATTTGTTTCAGAAAATGACAAATAAAGAGTTGAAATTACATTACAAATATCTTTTCAATTTACGTTAGTATAAGTAAAACATGTTTGACTTTCTTTTACATAGGGGTCCTTGCTCTCTTTAGGGTTGAGATTCATTTATGGTTATGGTTAGGTCAGAGTTGTTCAAGGTTGGTTTTAGGGAAAGGGTTAGTGTACGAATAATTATAGGGTTAAGGGATCAAGTGGAGTATCAAGACATAATTTATACTTTAACTGATCACTGCAAAATAAATTAACTATATCAGTCAAAGCTGTGGACTGCTTTAATTTTCTTTTCAGTAGCGATGCCGAGACCGGATATCAGGAATTCTGTGGTTATGTCTGCGTGGACTCAACAGGAGCAGATAGACGAACTTCGTGGAAAACTCCATCTAAAAGGTAACTTTGATCCTTCGCCAGAAATTAAACTAGTATTTCAAATTTATTTCAAATATATAAGAAGGTAAAGATTATAAAAGAAGAAAATGTGTGTAAGTTTTAAGAGTCAATTTCTTTGAAAACTGGTATCCGTGTACCTTATAAATTTAAAAATGCAAACTAGAAATCATAATGTCCTTTTCATTTCAGAAAGAGATGCGCGTGCGTTTTTTGAAAGCTCTGAAGAGAGGAAAATCTTAAATGAACGATTAATTGCAAAACTTAGAGCAGAAAATAAGAAGAAGCGTGTAACTATTGCGAAGAGTATAAATGTAAGTTAAAATGAAAAAAAAGCATACATTAGTAAATCAAAACAATCAGTAATAGAGAAATTGTAAAATACACAAAATAAAACAGATCCAAAGCCCCTTTCAAAAATAGAAACATTAAAAAGGCCGGGAATTTGTCTGGAACAAATTTATCATTTTACAAAGGCAACATGAATATAAATTAAAGCAGGTATGGAACACATATCCATTAGACAGAGACTTTAACAACAAAAGCTTACACCCCAGCCCCCCACCCTCCAAAAAAGAACAATAATAAAAAAAAAAAGATTACAAATAAATCTTTATTGCAAAATTACACCCATAAGGGTCAAGAAATACAAACAAACAATGATGCAAATAAATACAATACAATGCAATACAATACAATACAATAGAGCATATTTTACGGAAGAGTTCAATTTACAAATTTATGTACAAAACACTATTATAAACTTGTCTGACATGGGTCTGACCCCCTCAGTTCTAAAGACTGCTTAATGAAGACTCCAAAATGACAAACAAGTTCAGGGGTGGGTTTAAGAATGTGTTTTAGTTTATTAAATGCATCAAGATATTGAAATAATGGTACATAGTCTTTTAGATAAGCAAAAACAAAAAAATGAACGCAATGCTATGTTAATGTCACAATACAAAAAGAAATGAAATTCGTCATCTAGAACTCCACATTTTTTACATAATCTTTGTGCTCTTGGAATGTTTCTGTATCTATTTCAGTTCCTTAGATATATTATATGTTAATCAATTAAATCAAAATTAATCATATTATGTACTTTGTTTAACCTATTTTTAATTTACTTTTATATTATGTTTATAAATTATATTGTAATTATTCTACTCATTTTGGGCGCCGTGATTGTTTGTTTGTCACCAAATTCAATGCCTAGGGAATGATCACTAAGTATACATTTTGAGAGTAACTACCTATGTATAAAATTATTGCAAATTAAATATTCCTCAGACTGACAATTAATTTTTAATTTCTCATTAAGACAAAGTTTGGATGAGGAATCTTTGAAAGTTTATTTAAAGTATAGTTTTTTTCATATTCCTCTGAAACAAACTTTTTAATATTACGTTTTAACACTTTTTTGATTGTTTAAAAGGTACATTAATATTTGAGTGATTTTCTGGGTTTACTTTCATATCTTTAAAAAATTTATCTGCAAATGAGTACCAAGAATAATTTCCTGAGGAACAACAACAACAACAACAATAAAATAAACAAAAGAAAAAGTAAAATCTGAATGACCAAGCTTTCTTACCAAATGCTAGTTAATGTTTTCATTAGACGATTTTTGTTTGTGTATCTTTCTTTTTTCAATTGCCATTGGTAGTCTTTTTCTGGTATAGTCAGTCGCACGTGGTCAGTCGTAACAACGGAAACTATACATATGTGTTTGCAGGGCGATGAAAAAGTTATACAGTCTGTATTCCAAAATCGGAAAGAAGAACTTCTTTCGATGCAGCGATATACCGTCGAGGTAACTATATAGCTGTTAAAACAAGAAAGAAAAAGCCTAAACTCACATGAATATAGGCATATATATTGAATTATTGCACTACTCGAAAGTAATTAAGTTGAAAAAGTATTTGAAATTTGGCACGCTTGTCGCATCACTACTTTTGAAAACTAAAGTAAGTAGCATCTATATTTTGATAAGTCCGTTTTATGCAATGTATAATATATTTTTTTCTTTTTCTATCCCTCTCCGTTTAAAATTTGTTATTTTTTAATCTTGCAATCATTTTTTCAAATGATCTCCAGAAAACTAACGTAGTGTATTAAAAAAAATATATATAAATACAAACAAAAGAACCCCAATTAAGGTTTTAAGTTCAAGAAAATATGATGAATCGTCTATGTCGTATTCCAGGGTGCTGTAAAAACGATGGATCAGAAAGTGTGTGAGGCTAGTAAACGGCGTAATACCATCAAACATGAGGCAGACATAAAAAGAGATCGACTAAAGGAACTGCAATCTACTCTTAGGCAGATGAGGCTTGTTAATACACAAGATTTTGATCTAGAAAGAAAACAGGTGAATTTATACCAGTGTTTGTTTTTACCAAATATGGAATTAGGAACATACAGATATAAATGAGTCACAGCAATCTGTCAAGTACGACAAAACCAAAAATGGACAAAGCATGCGACTTGGAGTAAAAAACATGATTTATTTATAATATTCTCTTATATAGTAATCAGATATCAAGTCAGGGTGAAGTGAAAGATTTTGATCCAATACAATACCAAATTACACGTTCCTTCTTCCTCATGCTTTATATGGTTAATCAACATGAAACACGAAAAAAAAAAGTTAAGAGTATCTAGATCATAACTTTTATTGCGACACATCAAACATACACCTTAAGTCTTTTTCGACCTTAGGTCACATATTCGGCAATAAAGATTTCAAATGTCAGAGGCAATTGAAGGTCACGTAATACTGACCAATCAACTTGTTCCTTACTCTTTGCTTATACTTATACGATTCTCAAGAACATAGCATTAGTTTCAAGAGCAGAGATTAAATAATAATCCGAGATTAATGTTTAGGTTTAATATTTAGAATTTCCTAAACCTTTATACACGAAAAACACATTAATCGATTGATTTTCAAGAACGGATTTATTGCTTGATGTCTAGTGCTATAGTCGAGTCCATAACAATTTAACAATAAATCCAGAATGCAGGTTCTGCAAAGTTGTCCGAGCATACTAGAAAAAAAAACCAACTCTAACATACGTGGCGTTAAGAAGTGAATTTCTGCTTTCGACGTCCTTGTATTCTGCAGTAGTATGATAATTGCTTTTTTTTGTTGGTTTTGGATTAAAAATCATTTTTGAAATTAGTCATCGTGTCATTTCAGGTTATAAGACGATTACAGAATGAGATGGATAAAGCTGGTATTAAATATGAGGCCGCCAGAAATATAACGAGGAGGTACGAGGAAATAATGACACACATGCAAGAGGTAATTTGAACGTTATGCTGATTCAATGATTTTTTTTGTCAAATTCTTCGTGAAATTCGACTAAGCTCCGAATCGTCCAAAAAAGTCTTGATCAACATTTTATAATTATAATTGACGTAGCTAATATTATGATACTTTTTTTTAGAAATCTGGAATAAGAAAATTGAGTTCATAATTAGATATAAGAAGATGTGGTATGAGTGCCAATGAGACAACTCTCCATCCAAGTCAAAATTTATAAAAGTAAACCATTAGTTCATATTATGGTTTTAACTATATGAAGCACGTTTCAATCATCAAACAAATTTCTACACCAATCAAAAAAAAAACATCGACAAATCTTTCATTGCTTTAGTCATTTAGACGCTATTTTTTCTGTTGGTTTTATAAAAGGCCATTTCTTTTTTTTCCTGTGACTTCATTTTTCAACAGTTTTAGAGGCAAATAAGAAAATTCCAATTTGTGACTCTTACTTATACTTTTCACACAGCTAAAACGGCAACTCAAGCATGAGTTTTATTGCCGTACGGGAGAAATCGTCCAGGTGACCATATACCCATACTCCAATCAACCTTTATCTTTCCCGATTTCTGCACCCAAGCCATCTTCTCGTTTCATAAACTAAAGGACTATGGGTAATTTCATAATTCGTACTCCAACATGAAAATAAAGTCAATTCGTTTTCTATTCGTTTGATGTGTTTGAACTTTTGAATTTACCGATTATGTCTGTTTGTTTTGCTCACACATTGTTGTCAATATAGTGGAATTCTATGCAAATGTCATACAAGTGAGAGGTTTAGCTAGAGCTCTATAAAACCAAGTTTAATCCACCATTTTCTACACAAGGAAATGCCTGTACCAAGTCAGGAATATGACAGTTGTTTTCCAGTCGTTTGATGTGTTTGAGCTTTTGATTTTGCCATTTGATAAAGGGTTTCCGTTTTGAATTATCCTTGAAGTTCGGCATTTTTGTTATTTTACTTTTCACGTCAATGTTTTCCATTGTTAATGACGTTTTTGTCTCGCCTGCGATAAAATCTCCCAGAATGCTAGACATAGGGATTATACTATCCGGCGGCGGCGACGTAAACTATTTGTACAAAGCTTTATATTTCGGAAAGTAGACGACCTGGATGCTTCATACCGTGTATGCAGATACTTTATGTTACGAAGTTTCCGTCTGTCATATGTCCATTGTCCTTGACATCTTTTTCATGGCTCAGTTACGTAATTTTTTTTTGTCATGTGAATTCCGCATTCATCATGAGTAATATGATAGCTTTATTTGATATATGGATTCCTTGTAATGTCTTCATGTCAGTCAGACAGGGTTCACCCGTTCTCGACCTCATTTCACGGATCAGTGATCAAGGTTAAAATTACGTCTTCAGGTCCATTTCTCAATTACTATAAAAAGTAAGTCAACTATATCGCTGTGTTGAAGATCCATTGGTAGCCGTGTGCTGTTTTCTATTCTTTGATCGGGTTGTTGTATCTTTGACGCATTCCCCGTTTCTATGCTCAATTTTATATGTGGTGTATATTGAATGATTGTGAGGAGTACATGTCAGTCTGGCAGATTTCATCTGAAATTGACCTCAATTTTATCGTTTATTGGTCAGTGTTAAGTTTTTGTATTTTGGTTTGTTTTTAAAATACTATAAGCCATATCAACTATTTTTGGTGTATGGAATGATTGTAAGGTGTAAATGTATGTCCGGCAGGAATCATTTGTCCTTGACATCAATTTAATGGTTCATTGGTCAATGTCAATTTTCTGTGGTTTGGTCTTCTTCTCAGATACTATAATGATAGGTTAACTAAACTGATTACCAACTTATTTTCGCGGATAATTTATTTCGCGTGTAGCCATGCTCAGCCAACTTTACGGTGATTTAACTTCGCCGCGGTTTTCGAAATTTCTTGATGTATTGATATAAGGAAAGACCCATGTGTTATATATTCGCAACATTTTATATTCGCGTTATTTTCCACTGTGAAAGTTGCGAGAATAAATCGCTCGCGAAAATTAGTTGGTTAATAGTATTTGGTGTATGGAATGATTGTAAATTTTACATGTCTGTGTGGCAAGGTTCATTTTCATGGTTAATTGGTCAATAACAAGTTTTCCTGGTTAAGTCTGTTTCTCAGATAAAATAATCGATAGGTCAACTTGATTTGGTGCATGTAATGATTGTAAGGTGTACATGTCTGTCTGACATGTTTTATTTGACCTCGACCTAATTGTCATCGATCATTGGTAAGTTTATGTGATACTTGTAGTAGAAACCTTTATTTTTAAAACTTTCAAGGGGTCTTTCAACATCAAATCAATCATGGTTATGTTAAAGCAGGCGAGAAATTTCAGCGTATGTTCTCTTGTTATCAAATCCCAACGTTTGGAGTATGCTTTTGAAAATATTACCCAGAATGCATTAGATTTCTGAAAAAGACGAACTTTTGCAGGATTTTCTGTTGCGATTCTATAATAAAACCGATTGCTAACTTGAGGTTTTGTGCTTTTCTTTTAGGAATGTAGATTGTATCCAGCTAGACTAAACGTACTGGAGGAAATCTTTCGTGATGCTAGCACAGAATTAGATGTACTCAAACTAATGAACGAGAAGGCAGTTAAAAGTAGCGATGACACCAGAGTAAGTTACAGTGCAAAAGCACTAGTGAATATAGAATTAAAAAAAACATACATGCGAGAGGGATACATTTTTAAAGAGTTCACACGACAATTCGCCATCGTGCTAGTTTATTTGAAATTAGCTCTATATATATAGGTTCATCGTAGACTTTCTTTAATTGTTCATCTAACATTTTACAGAGAGACTTAATGAAAATGGAGAGAGAAATGTATCAAGCAAGAAGAGCGCGAGATCAACAGCTTAATGTTACCAAAAAGGAGGTGGAGAGACGTAAGGAGCCTACTGACAGAACAGAAAGAAGGGTGAGTATAACTCGAAGAATGTAATCAATCATTTACAATCTGGTAAGGAGTGAACAGGGTGCTTTAACCTTTTGGAGCACCAGAGGTCACATCCGGTTTTAATTAGGAGTTTGTTCAAGTCTATTTTTTGTTTTGAGTTCTTGTTTCATTTTCGTTCATTTTTTTTTCTGTCAGTTTGATCACTGCTGACCATTTCAAAACTTCTCTACGGACAACAATAGATTAAAAGACCATACATTTATAGGAACAAGCGGCTTGGAATTATCAAGATATCACAATGTTCAAAATTATAAAATATATTTTAATTTTGAACAATATTATGCAAAACAAATAAATACCAAGAAGAAGAGTTGGTAAATCGAAAAAAAACTGAAATGAATGAAAAAAACGATGCGAAGTAAGCAAATGCTTAATGTAAGGAAGGGATAGGTGAGAATTTAGATATATCTATATACCACAAATATGTTTATTTACAGGCAAAGGTTGCGTACGTTACAGATACTGCAGGTGGTAAGTTTTGTATGTTCTTGTCTTACGTTCTTACCTGTTTAATTATTTTATGTTATTTATTTATTCTAGGCTATTAATGTCGTCTGTGGCTTGTCTGTTCTTCAACTTTTCACATTTTTTAAGATGATCTTCTCTGAAACTACTAGGGGACAAGATACATATATTTATTGGTCCTTGAGTAGATTACCTTAGCTGTATTTTACAAAACCTTTGGAATTTTGGGTCCTCAATGCTCTTCAACTTCGTACTTTATTTTACTTTTTTTTTAAACTTTTTTGATTCGATCGTCACTGATGAGTCTTTTGTATACGAAACACGCGTCTGGCGTACAAAATTTTAATCCTTGTATCTATGTTGAGTTTATTCATGTTATCACAAACTTTCATTTCTGGTCACCAGCGCTTACATCCCAGCTCCTTTGTTCTACCAGGGGTGATCTGAGCCGGATCATCCCTACCAGACCACCCTAGCTTGCGTTTCTTTGTTCTGCATGCTTTCCTTTGTTCTGTATGCTTTCCTTTGTTCTGTAACATTTTGGCGGGAATGTCAAATCCACAATACAACTAAGAAATATTCTCATGGAAAAAACTAACTATCAAAATTTATGTAGATAAAATCCAGTGTCTATGCTGGGAATCGAACTCAAGACCTTAAGCATATAGACCTACGATTCATAGCGCTACACTAGGACGACTGGATGAAAACTCTCAGTTAATTTAGCATATTTAAACATTGTATCCGGGGCTCATAAAGGGTATATACTATATAGTAATATCACTGTGCTTAAACGGCTGTGGGTAACTTAAGTTACCCACAGCCCAAGATGGTGGTCTCTAAACTCGTTGATATATAATTGATACAAAATCTACTTTTTGCGACGTTTTTCATGCACTATGTAAATATTTATAGGATTCTTGAATAAAGAAATCACTTATTACCATATCAGTCGGTTAAAGAGCTCTTAAGAGCTCATGTTCCTTGTTATTATGTATATATGCAACCCGACTTTAAATAAAGATTACTTACTTAAAAAAATAAAGACTACTTACTTACATAAATTTGTTAATTTTGAGTTCATTTTAGCGCAAGGCCAACTTTAAAAAATGCATAAGATGTCCGTAACTTTATGGTCAAAACTAATCAGACGGTCCGTAACTTTATTTTCGAATGTGGGTAACTTTTGTTTTCTAAATTGTAAGATTGATAATTTCAACAATTAAAGGACAATAAACACTATCAAATCCCGTATTTATTACATAGTTTTATACTTTTACGATATACGTCAAAATACGAAGAGAAAAGAGAACATAGCTGTAAAAAACCAGACCCGAGTTTTACGGATTTACCGTTGTTTTTTTCCAATTTATTCCCGATTTTCGGATAATATGTTGATAGATTAATCCAGTAAACCTGGTTAGCAGCATCCAAAGTATACTTTGCAGAGTGTTTACATAAAACAAGATCTGATGGTACGGCGAAATTTATCTTCTGGCTTTATAGATTGTTCACTGTTTGAGTCCTTGGCACTTTAGCCGCGGGCAAAATTGATACCTTTTCCTTTAAATAATTTCCGAATTGTTAGCCAAAAAAGTATGGTATCCACTATACCTAGTGTTATGAAAAAAAAATGCCAACATCTTAAAGTAAATGGAAGCCAAGTTGTTGAACAGGTGTCCGTTTATAACAGCAATTAAGGTAGATTTAAAATCTTCTAAACGTTTCATTGATCTCAGGGATTCAATAACACTTGCTATCAAAGCGTAAGTATCTTCTTCAGGGGTCTGGACAGCTCCGTCTATGTATTTCCGCTCAGGATTGACATCTGAACTTGTTCTCTTAAAGATGATTTTCGTATATTCACTTTTAATGTATGGTTTAAAGCCTTGAGTAATTTGATCTGAACTTTGTGATATCTCCAGTGGGAAGTGGTGAGATTTATAAGCTGCATGTCCTGATTTTTCGTCCAAAACTTGTTTCCTTATGCTAAATTTTGAAGTTCCATTGTGTTGGCTGATTGAGTGATACACATGGTATCTATGTCACTAGATAAACTAACACATGTAATTTAAAAGAAAAATCTAGTTAATTAGCTGGGTACAATACCAGAAATCATGGAAATCACAAAAGAATTATATCATACTAGAAATCTACTTTATTTCTGATTATATATTCGATGCAATTTCTATAATATGTTTAATTATTACATCCATGAATATCGATTCTTTGAAAGTTACAGCTGGGACTATTATACTATAATATATTATGTCCCAGGTTACGGACATCATGTTAAAGTTACGGACATCCTGTTAAAGTTACGGACATTTCTATTGGTATAATGAAAAAAGTTACGGACATCCCGTTAAAGTTACGGACATCGCGTTAAAGTTACGGACATCCCTATTGGTATAATGAAAAAAGTTACGGACAAGTTGTTTTCAACTTACGGACATCCTAAGTGTTTTCGAAAATCCTAATGTGATCGTTTATTTCGCAGTATTTAATCATCTTTTATGTTTAGGTGTTTCCCTAAAAGATTGATACAACTTTTTAATTACTGAACATTTGTGTTGTTTTCAATGGTTTTTTTATATAATCTAGAACAGCTGGGATGTAAAATAGTAATCCCATTCGGACTTGGTGTGTCAGTGTAAGATCACCCTCCGGCCTCCGGCCGTCGGGATGATCTTGCACATGGAATAACTATTACGGAAACATTATGATCAAATCCTTTTAGGAAGGATGATTGGGCGACATCAATTTCATAGAATGATTATAATTCAGGAACTTGTAAAACAGTTAATTGTTTTAGGTTATTTAGGTTAAGTGGATCGGATACATGTATGAACATAAACACGTCAAAATGCGAACAACTTGACATGTACATGTATGCCAAAATTTCATTGTTGAATGATGACAATTAGCAATTGGTAAAAATTAAGGTTAAATTTAGATTTAACAATGGTAGTTTGATGCAAAGTGGATATGATATGAACATCATAAATAAATCAAATATAACCTTTAATATGTATGTCAGAATTGTTGTATAAAAACACCTTTAACTTCATTGTGATTAATCAGAATTTGTAAAAATTAGAAGAATATCCCATGTCTCATAACAAAGAAAAAACAACAGAATAGTTTTTGGAAATTCGAAATATTTAAACTGTATTAAGAAATAAATAATTCGTGTGGACTATAAGAAGACAGAAGATACCAAGGAGACAAAACAACTAGTCGATGAAAACCAGGAATTACCATGACCAAAAACGACAAACACCAGTCTACAAAACGCTACACAGAAAACTAACTATGTAAAGGGGCATAACTCTACAACGGTAAACGTGACGGAATAGTCAAAACTAAATACGGAGCAATATGAACCCAACCAATAACAGTTAATGATCTCAGGTGCTTTGGGAGGATAATGATCTCAGGTGCTCTGGGAGGATTATGATCGCAGGTGCTCTGGGAGGATAATGATCTCAGGTGCTCTGAGAGGATAATTATCTCTGGTGCTCTGGGAGGATAATGATCTCAGGTGCTCTGGGAGGATAATGATCTCAGTTGCTCTTTGAGGATAATTATCTCAGGGCCCTCGGTCATGCAACTTTACTCAGTACTCCGAGTACAAAAGTTGTGCTCGAAACATCAAATCCAGTATTTTGATTGGTTGAATTCGGAGTCTGAGTATGATAATCATGCTCAAAATGTTTATGACTGCAAGGCCAGTTGCTCTAGGAGGATGAGGAAATTATGCTCCACTAGTGGCACCCGTCATGTTTCTCATCGCAAGTAAACATTCGGTGATGAGTCGCAAACGGTGATGTCACAAACGGGGAAAAAGGGGCGGGATTGTAGCTAGGACGATTGGAACATATCCACAAATATTCCGCCATAACGGTTAATCAAATCATAATGACGTCTTTTAAACTTTAAAACGGATGTATCCAACTTTACCATTGGGAAATCATGATTATGATATGATACATTATCTCTGGAATATTATATCAACGGGGAGAAATATACTCTTATATGAAGGCGCTGTAGGAATGTTGCTACATAGAAATGGAAAGTTTACAATGAGAAAAGTGCAATAATCTTTTGTCGTCTAAGTTAAAGCTGCTAATAATATTATTATTGTTTGACGTAAATTTTACATTGAGGTTCTGAAAAAAGAAATCACCAATTCACCAACATTCCAACTGACTCCATTTTCAGAAAACGACATCTGTAACAAACATAAACTTTTAGCTACCGCTTTACAAACAGAACCAAATACAATGAAAATCCCAACTATGTATTGGCTTCCGAAGCTACACAAAACACCTTACAAATATAGATTCATTTCGTCTTCAAGCCATTGTTCCACTACTAAATTGTCTATTCTTCTTACCGGTACACTTGGTACAATCAAAAATCTGATAATAAATTGTTCAAATAAGGCCTTCGAAAATAGTGGAATTAATTACTTTTGGAGTGTCAAGAACTCGTTGGAAGTACTTGATAAATTGCATCCATATATTGGTGATTTTGAATCTGTTCAAAGTTTTGATTTCTCTACCCTATATACCACATTGCATCACTTTCTCATTAAGAAAAAATTCACACACCTAATTAAATGGGCATTTAAAAAGTCAGAATGTGAATATATATGTTCAAACTCTTTTAGGTCATTTTTTAGTAGCAATAAACAAAAAAAACTATGTCAATTGGACATGCTTTGATACTATATATGCCCTTGAATTTTTACTAGATAACATTTTTGTTCGCTTTGGAGATTCCGTATATCGTCAGGTTATCGGAGTTCCAATGGGGACTAACTGTGCACCACTTATTGCGGACCTTTTTTGTATTGCTATGAGTTACAATTTATGACAAAAATCAGCAAAGACCCTTTGAAACAACATCTGATACACAAATTTAATAATACTTTTAGATATTTGGATGATATTTTGGCTCTCAATAATGACGACTTCAGTATGTATACTAAAGAAATTTATCCTGTTGAACTTACTTTAAATAAAGCTAATACTAACAATGACCACTGCCCTTTCCTCGATCTTGATATCTATATCATTAACGGAAAGCTTAATACTAAAATATATGATAAAAGAGGTGATTTTTCATTTCCTATCGTTAATTATCCATTTTTAGATGGTGACGTTCCCTTGTCACCATCTTACGGTGTTTATATATCTCAACTTGTACGATTCGCTCGTGTATGTTACAATGTTTTAGATTTTAACGAGAGAAATTTATGTATTACTGAAAAATTATTACACCAGGGTTTTCGATATCACAAACTAGTCAAAACATTTACTAAATTTTATCATCGGTATAAGGACATCATTCGTAAATATAGCTCAACATGCAGACTTCTTATACGTTCAGGTATTTCACATCCAATTTTTTATGGAAATATTCTTTATAAAGCACAAAAATGTCAGTATTCACCTCTGAAGCTAACAAAACCTTTAAATAGACTTATTAAGAAGGGATATAGTTACGATACTGTTGTCAGGTCATTAAAGATTGCATATTTTGGCGTTAATATTGATTCACTTATAGGGTCTTTGCATCGGCACTAAACACATTTATTTAAAAACCAGTTGTTGGCATGACACGGGTTATGTTCTTCTCATATATGTTATGATGGTATGATACTAAACCCCTAACGGGAAGGATTGTGCCTGATATTCATATGATGAAGACATAATCTTTCTATCAGTTTAATTGAAGTCTGGAGCTGGCATGTCAGTTAACTGCTAGTAGTCTGTTGTTATTTATGTTTTATTGTCATTTTGTTTATTTTCTTTGGTTACATCTTCTGACATCAGACTCGGACTTCTCTTGAACTGAATTTTAATGTGCGTATTGTTATGCGTTTACTTTTCTACATTGGCTAGAGGTATAGGGGGAGGGTTGAGATCTCATAAACATGTTTAACCCCGCCGCATTTTTGCGCCTGTCCCAAGTCAGGAGCCTCTAGCCTTTGTCAGTCTTGTATTATTTTTAATTTTAGTTTCTTGTGTACAATTTGGAGTTTAGTATGGCGTTCATTATCACTGAACTAGTATATATATTTGTTTAGGGGCCAGCTGAAGGACGCCTCCGGGTGCGGGAATTTCTCGCTGCATTGAAGACCTGTTGGTGACCTTCTGCTGTTGTCTGTTCTATGGTCGGGTTGTTGTCTCTTTGACACATTCCCCATTTCCATTCTCAATTTTAAGTTTTCAATTTTACCTCATTCTCAGTTTCTAGAAGTAAGTCTCGATATGAAACAAACTTAATTTAATATGTAGGTTGCTAAGAAAAATTGTCATTTACTTACTGCATTTCTTTTGAAGAGAAAACTTATAACAATATTTGAGCAGTAGACTTCGATTTTGAAATGCTAGTATCAACATTTACTACTGAGACACCCTCCCCCTCCAACGAAAAAAAAACCCCAAAAACAATCAAACAAACAAAAAACAAAACAAAACAAAACAAACAATTAAACAAATAAATAAAAGCGCCACAAAACACAACATACAACAAACAAACAAATCAAACAAAAACAATATTATACCCCCGCCGTAGCGGAGGGGGCATTAAGTTTTACCCTTGTCCGTCTGTACATCCGTCCGTCCGTACGTCCCGAAATTGGTTTCCGTTCTCAAACTTTAGTTTGCCTCCACCAAATGTTATGAAACTTATACACAATGAACAAGTTTGAATTTTGGTGGCGTCACTTTTACCGTTGTAGAGTTATGCCCCTTTACAAATGAAAAAAATACTGAATTTTTCGTTTCCGTTCTCTTACTTTGGTTTGCCTCAACCAAATTGTATGGAACTTATACACAATGCTTATTATCACAAAACACAGATCGAGATTGAATTTCGGTGGCGTTACTCATACCATTCTAGAGTTTTGCCCTTTACAAATGGAAAACTTGCTGAATTTTTCGTTTCCGTTCTCTGACTTTAGTTTGCCTCAACCAGACGTTATGAATCTTACACACAATTCTTTTTAGCACAAAACAGAGATCAAGTTTGAATTTTGGTGGCGTCACTTTTACCGTTCTAAAGTTATGCCCCTTTACAAATGGAAAAATTGCTGAATTTTTCGTTTCCGTTCTCTAACTTAAGTTTGCCTCAACAAAATGTTATAAAACTTATACACAATGCTTATTGCCACAAAACTCAGATCAAATACGAATTTGGGTAGCGTCACTTTTTAACGTTCTTGAGTTATGTCCCTTTATAACGTTATATGCAAGCGGGAGCATCATCTGTGTCCCATGGACACATTCCCCATTTATTTCTAATATATAACTGTTTCAAACACTAAAGTTTGATTTCATATTTGAGGATATTATAAGTATCCCTGTTAAAGTCTTCTTTTTCCATTGAATTCTTCTTGTTTTGTTCTTTAAGATTGTGAAGTCAAATTTGACATTACTTCCGTGTATTTTCATATTGAATGATTACTGACACATGTAATGACAAATGAAGGATTTTTGTGTAATTGTAATAAACGTAATAAAAAAGAATTACATTACTTTTCGATTACTGTCAATTACATGCTTCAAAATTATAAAAATAATAAAGTAAGTTGAACACAATGATGTTGCTCAACGTATTTATAGTGAAAATTCAGAACTTTTTACAAAAACAGCATGTAAAAACGTTGTTTCCAAATGATATGTTCACAGTTGTTTTCTAGATTGACGCTCTTATCAAAAAGCGAAATATTATTGATCCTGTGTTTATTTTTCTGACAGATACAAAGGCAATCAAATTACAACAAGAGAAGGAGGATCGTCAGGAGAAGATACTAACCTTAGAAGATGCATTTGAAAAGATAAAATCAGCCATCCACGTGTCTAATATGGATGTAAGTTTTTTTTAATTATTTTGCTTGCAAACAGATATGATATGATAATTTGGATGTAACACGTCTTCTGACAGGCGGAAAATTTTTTGTCTCAGCTCATAGACATAATTTTGTCATGTGACCGTGACGTCATCAACGTTTTTTCATGATTTACTCCATAAAAATGGAATTTAGAATTAAATTATAAGGACTTACTGTAAAAAAATCTTTTTTTGTCTATTTGAAATAACCTGAAAAATGTGGTGCACACTTTTAAATAACACGCTACGCGGGTTATTCAGTGTGCACCACATTTTTGATGTTATATCTTCATAGACAGAAAAAATATTACAGTCATTCCTTGAATCTAACACTAGTATCAAGTACGAGCAAACTGTGCACTTTTTGAATTATTTGTTTTCGCAAACACTCACAAAATTTTGAGACAAGCGAAACTACAGGAGTTCAAGACAATACCCTCGTAAGCCACTTAAGCATGAGGAAAGCTGAAATGTCAAAAGTACTCAATTTTCATTAAAAAAATCTACACACGCATGTTCTTAAAATTGGGTTGGAGAGCGGATTGAAAATTGCATCGGTGCTTATCAGACCCTTAGCACTGGTAAAAATGCAGTAATTTTTCTGTTAATATGGGGTCGTAAAGGGGTTATATGAACGGATGAATATAAAAAAAGTCATATTCCAGGATGAAAAGAAAATAATATGTAAGCTTATTGGTGCCTTTTTAATGAGATATTTGCACGATACACAGCAAGTAAAAGCGGATAAAAGCGTGGCTCAAAATTACTGGTTTACCACTGTCCTAACAATGTCTAATCGTAAACCCGGTGCTAGCAACCATCTTTAATTTGTTCGACATGCTAATGATTTCATTTTATAGGTACGAATATAACTATAGACTTTGCTTCTTACCTTCAACTACTGCATATTCTAGTTATGCTTTAAGATGTAATTTTCAGTATTTTCAGTATCACTTTAACTTTTTATCATCTTCATCTCTTTATTTTCAGGATATAGTATTCCGAGTAACTAATCAAGATAATACACGTCACCGAATTTTACAACAAGAACAAGAGAAATTAGATGCAAAAGAGAGATTAATGGAAGAAAAAACTTCTTTACGAGTAATTTTTGAGGATCTCAAATTTACAAGTCAGCGGCAGATAGCTAAGTAAGCTTTCATATATAGTACTATCCGTAGAGTATGGAAAGTCGTGTGTGTTAAACTGATGCTACTGGATTAACACTTGTAGAAAGGTTGATTTCGACGGATGTTTCTACTGGGTCTGACATACTGGTCCTACCGGAACACCAGGGTTCCCTCCCACAATCTTGGTGATGTTCGCATTCTCAATCTTAATTCCTGCGTTCAGTGTTTTGTTGACTGTTGTTTGTCTGTTCGTTTTCTAAAATGTCTTTCTATTTCCGACGTATGGTTTTCTATTCTAAAATGTCTTTCTATTTCCGACGTATGGTTTTCTATTCTAAAATGTCATTCTATTTCCGACGTATGGTTTTCTATTCTAAAATGTCTTTCTATTTCCGACGTATGGTTTTCTATTCTAAAATGTCTTTCTATTTCCGACGTATGGTTTTCTATTCTAAAAGTCATTCTATTTCTGACGTATGGTTTTCTATTCTAAAATGTCTTTCTATTTCCGACGTATGGTTTTCTATTCTAAAATGTCTTTCTATTTCCGACGTATGGTTTTCTATTCTAAAATGTCTTTCTATTTCCGACGTATGGTTTTCTATTCTAAAATGTCATTCTATTTCCGACGTATGGTTTTCTATTCTAAAATGTCTTTCTATTTCCGACGTATGGTTTCCTATTCTAAAATGTCTTTCTATTTCCGACGTATGGTTTCGGTAACGATATCGTCTTCCTCTTTTGCACATCTAACTTAATGCTGATTAACTTTACTACAATCTAATTTAAATATAGTACTCTGATTTCTTTATAAGAGCTCTTATGGAGATAACGAAATCAGAGTACTATATTTTATTGCAGTTTATTCTTTGAACAAGTTTTTGGTGGAAACCAAGTTAACTTTCATAGGGACAACCAGGCTTTAAAATCTTCAGTTTCGTACAATATATAATCATTTTATTTTTTAAAAATTGTACAAATGTGTTATAGAACATAACACTCTTACTTGAAGCCCGTATGTTGACCGCTAGATGTCTATCGTATTGATGGGTCACTGTCTCGTGTATGTGTTTCAGAAATCCTTGCATCTCAGAAATGTTCGTCTCGTATGATTAAGACTCGGCGAGTTACACATTTGTATACTATAATAACTATAGAAGGACAATCGTATTCTTCCCGAGCGTCTGATATTCTCTTCTAGTGTCTGGTATCCTTTCCGAGCGTCTGAATCCCGGTTTTTATTTTAGTCCCTTTTAACCAAGCCTGACTTTTCAGGTCATCTGTTTATTTTTCCGTGCCCTTGTAAAATATAAACTATTTTCTTGCCTTTTTATCCCATTATATATTCCAATGAGTTTGCATTGAAACACATTCCTTTCATTACTACTAGTAATTAAGTTCCTACTTGCATTTTAAGGATTCAGTATCGGGCACTCGAGTTTTGTATATATATTTTATATATAACTATCTGTTGATATCTACATTTAGAGGAAGAAAAATGGTCGAAGATGTACAAGAATATGTTAAAAAGGAAGAGACGTCAAGAGACGATTGTCTGTCTGAAATGGCTGTCAACGACAAGCTTCTTCTCGATCTACAATCTGGTATCGCTACGTTGTATGAGAAACTTAAAGAAATCAGGCTGAAACCGGTAAGTACAAATAAAAAGATCACGCATATATAAATGATTATTACTGTTCATTTCTTTTTCGGGACATTTTGCATAATTGTTTTTGAAATTCTTCCTACTCAGCCCAGCCTTTAAAATGGGTGTCAAGAAGAGTCTTAGAGCCATATCATACCATCTTTAACTTTAACGGTACCATCAAAAACGAAGCCTTTAAACGCTAGAATTGAGATATTTCACAGAATTGGATTTTAAAAATTGGTGGCGTCAGTCTTAGAATGATGTTTGTAAATTGGCTAAGTGGTCTAAGTAGTTCATCTACGGAGATCAATTGCCGGGTGAGTTTGAACCCCGCTGGTGGCGAAGTTTGGTTCGACTCTGGCCTTAATTAGTAAGGATTTTCAGTTTTCAGGTCAAAGGTCGGGCACTCGGACTTCCTGAACCAATGAAAAAATGGCCTTCATGGTATAGCCAAGGTTGCTGAAAGTGGGGTTATAAAAAGACCAACAATGTTTGTAAATAACTTATTATTTCTGCTGACGCATTACTAGTAAAAAGGATTTGGTTTCTAGACAGTAACAGTGTATTACCCCCTTGGTTCGAAATCTAATACTAGTATTGATTTTGAAAATTTTCTTGACTGAATAAAAAAGAAATATGCTGCATTTAAGACCATTTCCTGGATTGGCCTTTGTCAAGAGTATTAAATAAAGTTTGGAAATCCATTTTATTTTAAGAACATGAGAAGTCATTATCGAAAGGACACACACATTGACAACATTGCTTGTGTGAGTTGAAATCTCAGTTTGTATTAAAACATATAACCAACTGAGAATTAAACAAAATGACATGACAATGGTACTCGTATGAGTCAACTAAAATAACGTGGCTTTACTTCAATTTTAGCCTTACCACAATTTTTCGAAATCCGATCCAGTAGAAGATCTTGCTAATTGTCAAAGAAAGCTAGAGGTATTGCTTACAGGGTTAGGACTGTGGAAGAAAACACCTGAGTTGTCTCCCGTGAATTTAAATGAACACAAGGTAAGATGGGAACTGAACCTTATCATTATTCAACATTCTATTTGAATGATGAAAAACAAACATGGTTTTGATCAGAATTCCTTTTCATTTTAACACCTTTTGAAATGCTTAATTTGGGTTCTACATCCAGGGTTAACCATTTTAAAACCACATATACCGAGGAAGAAATTTAAAGAAAATTAAAGACAGGTTGCACGTTGGGTTTAAATTAACATAAAATATTTTACAAAATGATAAAAAGCACTGTTTTCTATATTAAATATATGAATTTAGAAATTTAAATGCCTTCAATTGATATGCAGGCTGAATTTAAAACTTAATATGTATCTGATCGTTTTGAAATTACCATATTATTCGTATATATCTTTTATCGGTATCATTGCACAAACCTTTAAATCTTTACTAGTATATTTTCAACGAATAAATACCTGTCTCAACACGAATTTAATACTCACTAATGTTTTCAAGCTCAGTAGACCGATGGGTCATGAGCGTATTTTCTATCCTTTAAATGTATTTTTCGAAGTAATTTTACTTTGATTACTATTTATTGACCAGTAAAGCACTCATGGGGACATATACAATAGTAAAGTTGCAACCGTTTTAGAAATGCTAGAAAAATAAAAGGAGAATGTGTTCGAGGACACGAATGCCCCCGCTCAAGCTTTGAAAATGGAACGGACGGACTGTTTGCTGGTACTGGCTGACAAAGACGGTTGTCGACAAGAGACGTTGTTTCATGCTGGAAACTTTTGAAAATATGAAGAAGAAAAAATAAATTTATGAACTACACTTCAAATACAGACCAGGTATAAATGAAAGATATCGAGTGAATTTAAATACAGGCAAAATGTTGTTTACTTAGAACCGATTAATAGCGGCGCATGATTGTTTGGATAATAATATTATATCCTACTGGAAGTATTTCGAAGATTAGAAAACAAAGAACAGTAAAAGCAAAGTCAGACGACAATACCAAGTTAGACATTAGAAATCGTGTTCAGTCTCTTATGCTTAACCTAGTTACAATCGACTGGAGGGTGCCTGCAATTTCCTTTTATATTCTGCTGGCATTGGTTTTTTTCAACAGCTAAGGTATAAATTTATTTCAAAATGTAAAAAGATGGTGCAACAACGTTGTGTTTATGTTTGGAAAAAAAATGGGTTGTGTAAGATTGGTATATCAGTCCATACATGAAGGAACCATCTGGAAGTTAAGTAACAGAATGGTGACAAATGCAGAATCAAAACCGGAAAAGTACTAGTACCGGATATATCAGATTAATTACTGAAAGTGTTCAAGAAGGTGACTGACATTTCCGGTCTATTTTTCCTAACGGGGTTTGAATTATTTTTTTTTGCTATGGTAATTCCAAAAGAATAAAAAGAATCCTAACTTTACAAGAAAAGGGCCATTATGTGTTCTCGCTGATGCCTTTTGGGAGACCAATACAGGTTCCACTGTAGAGTAGTAAGAAATCAAAGGCAACAAATGAAAGTAAGACGAAACAAGTGGTAAATAGAGATTGTAGTTAGAACCAGGGCGGTATGCATGGACAAGATCTTATGAAGTAGTTGCAAAGTTATCTCAGCAAATCATTTCTTGTTAGATATTGATCGAATATTGCAGCTTTGGTACCATTCCGACAACCAATATTTGACCATTTAAACAACCAATATTTGACCATTCAGACACCCAATATTTGCGAAGGAAATACTATTTTTTCACTGTACCTATAAAAAATGTTAAAATAAAAGTACCGAACTCCAAGGTAAATTCAAAAAGGGGAAGTCACCAAAACTGACAAAACAAAACGATCGACTATATTAACCATCAACTACAAGAAATAGGTAGGAAATCTTTATAGTGTACGAGAAAATAGTTGTTATTTCTCATAAACATAACATAATGAACACTAGCGCGATACTTGGTTCCAAAGGTTTAATTGTTTGACATCATTTCACATCAGCAATGGTACAGAAGGCATGAATGGCAAGCAAGGTGTACATTGTCATATCACCACCAAGATGGTTTTTTTTTTTATAAAAAAAATATTCCTAATTTACAAAACTGTTATATATAATATTTTCTTTGTAGCTTCACACATATCTAGAAAACAAACTTCCGCCTGATAATATCCGGATCCGGTTAGAGACAGATGACGGAAGTGACATCGATGATTTCCATTTCGATCACGATCAAGATAATGATGGTCTGCTGTCTAGAGATGACATTAAACGTCAGGGGATGGAGTTCCTAAATACGAAACTCAAACCCAAGAAGAAGAAAGGAAGAAAAGTCAGAACAAAATAGATTTGAAGAAAACAAATGTACACAAATAAATAACATCAAATTGTTTCTGTAGTTATGAGGAGATCTCCATTTTTAGATCTATCCTGAAGGATACATGCATCTAAATTTGCGATCTTTTGCAAGCGCATTGAGCATAAAAAACGCATCTGAATATCATATTAATTTGAATATTTGAGCTTTTGGTTTTGCCATTTGACAAAGGACTTTCCGTTTTGAATTTTCCTAGGAGTTTGATATTTTTGTTATTTTAATTTTTTCAAAGAAAAGATAGAAAATATAATCCGATGAAAAATGGTTATAAATGTATAGGATGCACATAAATACTGCCATCTGATGAAATAATGATACATAAAACTTTTTTTACTAATCTAAGCATTTTTTGCCTATTACAATCATGTCAGTAGCGTTAAAATTAATCCTTAACTGCCTTTTCTCCCTCCAATTTAAGCATTGTTATCAATACAACAGAAACCATAAATTGACTCATCATATGAATCATTGTCCTTAAATGACGATCTTGGCCTATTATTTTGAAAACTTACAGATACTAATAGACAGGAACGTCAAAGATTTTCACTTCTAAAACAACTGAAACAATTGACTTCAAATTGACACGACTCATACACAGCATGTGCGAAATATTTAACGACCTCTCAACCAACATTGACAACTTGCAAAATATAAAACACAGATTTTTTTTCAAGAAATCACTTTTGCATATTGGATTGGGATATTTACGGAATGATCCATGGATGGTCTTTTACTAATTGTAAGTTTCTTGTGCCAATCCAAATAGCCATTTAAAACCAAGGAGCACAGTTTAACACGGATCCCTATCAATATGACATAGACACAGCTTAAAAACAATTAAAATACCCGTATCATACATTTAAACAAAACTGAAACACTGGATACAAGGGTGGTCCTCATTTAACATAAAACCCTATCAAAAAATACATATATTCTCAGAAACCATCTCAAACTTTCAACCCAAAATTTGAACAAATCCTAAACAAATATGCATTTGTTGATGCTGTACTGAAATTATAAATGGCCAACACACTGGAACATAATAGAACCCTATACATAAAATACATACAAAAAGCTCCTTCTCATAGTTAATGTCTCACATATTAAAACCAAATCATGCACACACGAACCTATGGTGTTCCTCTAGCAATTGTGAGTTTTGGTTTCAACTTGAAATAAGATTGCCACTGCCGTGGATCACAATTTGATATAGAACCTTTTGAGAAAAAAAACATAAATACAAACAGCATTTTCTCCAAGTTGTGAACAAAGTTAATACTATATCGGTGAACACTATACTAACTATACATTGTATTCATTATGTGTTAATACCTGTTAGCCCTTCTCGAAAGGAGAACGCATATAGGAGATCGTAACTCCATATTATTACGGGGATCATGTATTTTTTATCCTGCCAAATATTGTATGAGAGTCACAATGATATTTATACAAATCCAAGTGAGACGGACCGAATTTTTAAGGATGATTTGCCCTTTCGGAATAATTTGATTATGAAATCTGAAAGCTGAAAATATTATATACATGTATAGGAGCTATTAAATCGACCAAGGAGGAGGAAGGCAGACCATAATTCCCCCCACTTTTTATTATAAAAAAAATTGGAAATGAAAGAGGACACTGAATAACTTCTTAAATATTAGACTATAGATGTATATTTTGTTTTGTTTATTAGTTTTTTTTCTAAATTTGTTTCTGCATGTTTTTTTTTTTTTAATTGTCACTTTCAGAAATCCCCCCCCCCCCCTTTTTCAGTCTACTTCTACGCCACTGTAATAGTATTTTTTTTCCATAGTTGATTAACCTGGAGTAATTTAAACATGTTTAAGCTGATCTTAGTTTGGGGTCTTTGTCCCTAGTTTAAAGTAATGCGATGTCAACAGTTAATATGATTAGATTTTTGATTGCAACAGTTAGATAAGTAAATCAATTGAGACCATCACGTGACTTAAACTTTGAACGTTTCAAAAGGAATTCCATTTAAAGGTTTTGAATTTAGTTGTAAATCAATTGGTTTTTGTAATAAACAAACATGATATATATAGAAACTTCGAGGCCATGTATTGGGGAAATAAATTATATGATTACTTACATTTTATCTTAATCAAACAATTCACCTAAACTTTTATCACGTTTTTTCGTTTATTTTTCATTTAAAGGAAAACTCATTACATTTCATTTGTATACCTTTATTATAATATTCGATAGTGAAGCAAACACCTCACCTTATGATTAAAGTATGACCGGCATATATCACAAGATTATTTCACATTTTAAATCCTAAGTCGTAAGTGTCGTGTTGTCAGTATTTAGACCGAATGGGTACATTTAGTGGACATGCTATACCAGGATCGTTTTTTATTGTTTTTGCCATCTGGTGGACAATATGCCAGTATGATCGATACTACACCTGCCTTAAACGAAATGCACAATTTACGTCAACTCTCACATATCCACTTTCTTGTGGAAAATTTAAGATTCAATTATTTGAACCAATCATGAAAATAACTCTGGCAACCATTGGAATATGTGGAGAAATTTATACCGGATTTGATGAAGATAATGAACATTTTATTTATCCTGGAAATGCACAACATGCGACAATGTTTTGTGTGTTTGGAATAGGAGCAGTGTTGGATATATTAATTCATTATAAGTGTATAATACCGAAGGACATAGACTACACTGTTTTTATTCTGTCTGTGGGTATTGAAGGACTTTTATTCCATTTTCACCTGCATGGAAGAAATGCGCTAGATACACGGATACATACTCTGTTGATTTACGCCATTGTGTTCAGTGTTATCGCAGTCATTTTGGAAATGAAATACCGAAATAATATTTTGGCTGCTTTGACTAAGTCATACTTCTTTTTCGTACAAGGAATGTGGTTCTGGCAAATAGGGTTTATATTATATAATCCGTATTCTGACGCACAACCATTGAACCCGGAAGACGATTTTCAGTTAATGATGGTGCCTTTGTATTTTACATGGCATTGTGTAATAGTACTCTTTATAATGCTTGGGATTGGATTTTTTGTTGCTTGCTACCATAGACATTTATATCATAAAAATGAAGTGGATAAGTCCAGTTTGCAAAGTCTTTTGTAAAAAAAAAATTAGTAACAGGTGAACTATTAACAAGTGAAAATTGCAAATATAGTAAAGACATAATTTATGTTTAGTTAAAAAAAAACTATAGATATTATATATCTTAATTATTAAATAATGAGACTATCTTCGTAATACTATTATTAGCTCTGAAACCACACAATGACGTAAGTGTAATGTCGATTGTTTTTTTTTTTGCAGAGTGTGATTCCTAAATCTAATTTTAGGATTTAAGTGTAATGTATTGCAGAGTGTGATTCCTAAACCTGTTTTTAGGATTTATTCTTTTTTCTTTTTTGGGGGTTACTTTTTTTTACTTTTATTTTTTTTTGTACTGTTTTTGCTTTTGTATCTTCTTCACATGAATAGCAGGAATTGCATAAAACCACTCTCCTTCAACCATTTGTAAGTCAGTCAATATGGAATAAATTTCCAGATGTTTTATGGTGTTACAAAAAAGAGACTGCAGATACTAAAAGGGACAATCAAAAGTCATAAGTCGAAAGGAAACCGACACCACCACAGTGCTACAAAAAACGAAAAAAGACGAAAAGACAAAAACAACAGTCTACAAAGCACAATCGAAAGGATACAAGTGACATACTCGTATACTTCACATAAGAGGGTAGTTAGCGTGACAGGTCTGTGGATAAATACCTGGGTCAGTCACCTTTTGGAAAACCGGAACTACATTAGCAATTAGGTCATACTATATCATGATAATAGATGTTTTAAAATTATGGTACAGATGCTTAATATATGTATAGCAATATGTCAATACTCCATTTTCCGTTATTTTGATGTTTTCCACGACTTTGACTTCATCTCCGTTACGTAGTTAATTTTCATTACAGTACATAAAAGAACTGTTACATGTGTTCACTTTCATTTTGTTGTCCGCAGATGCAGGTTCACAGATGTTTTTTCAAGTAACATCTCCATTTTTTGCTTGAAGCTGCACTGTAAAAAGGTCATTATATAAAGCTGCTGTAGTGACAATCAATTTTATAATATGCTTGTGTTTATTAAAATTAATATTTTTTAATGTGCATTTGTGATTTGAACACCACTGTAGACGAAACACGCGTCTGACTAACTAAATTGAATGCAAGGCAACCTACTCTTATGCCTATATTGCATCTAATGCATCCAGGATCTTCAATTAAGAACACGTGTTGCAGGATCTCAATATTGACGAAATCAAGTCTAATATAAAAATAAGAAGATGTGGTATAATTGCCAACGAGACAAATCTCCACAAGACACCAAATGACACAGAAATTAACAACTATAGGTCACCGTACGGCCTTCAACAATGAGAAAAACCCATACGGCAGACTAGGTCATGTTGTAGATTGCATATATTCAAGTTCCGATCCGAGTTTAACTTAGCATTGTCAATACCGCTCCTCTTTCAAATGTGTTTACCAAAGGGTCAAAATATTGTTACACTTTTTTTGTTAATCTGCTAAAAATTATTCCATAGGCAAATCGCGAAAGAAAAGACGTAAAATACTCTTTCAAAATTGTTGAAGGTTGCATCTTTTGTCAAATGAATATACAATATATGCACATTGTCGGAAAATATAAAATTTATTTGTACGAGCTTTAAATAGAGACTGGAAGAAAAACGGCGCTCGCTTTTCAGTTGAAAATTTCCTTCCGTTCAGGAAAGGTGCAGACTGCGAAGAGGACATCAAATTGGGCTGTGACGCTAATAGGAATTTGAATTAACTTCGCTCGCAACAGAAGCAGGATACCGGGAGATTAAAAACGTATGCTAGACGAATATCACTTCGTGTTATCTGCTTATACACTTGTATTTGTATAGTGAAATTAATGGTCGATTGCAGGATAAATAAAAGTTGTCATATACCTGTCATTCCTACATGTCAAATAATATTACTGTCCGTGTAGACAAACAATGCATTCTTTTTTTTGTGTAAATGATTAATCGTATCACTTTAAACTGTTTAATAAAGGAATAAGGTATTGACAGACAATGACACTTACTAAAGAGGAAATCTGTAGTATGTGAATTTTATAAACCAACACATATTACTTTTCTTACGAATGATATTCGTTTAAATAATTTATAATTCGAAACTGTGTTGGTACATGTTTGCTTTCACTTTGTAAATAAATGACAAGGTCTATTGTGCCAAAATATTCATAGAACTAATTGGCACGCAATTAACGTACTTTTAAATACACACCTTTGTACTTATACATAAACACTACAATTTGTAAACTAAACCGTTAGAATAATAAGGAAGGCATACTTTTTTTAATTAAATCTCAGGTACACATGTACCCTGTGAAAAGTAAACATACACATATATTTTATTTTCCCCCCGATAAGCATGCGGTGAATTACTTTATATTTATGATCAGAGCACTGATTTATGGTATCAAATTTGTAATATTTATTTAAATCAAGGGTTTGTATAGTAATAACGTTGAAACATTAATATCTATAATTTTTTTTTATATGTATTCATCTATCTAGTAAAATAGGAAACAGCCAAATGCTGTAAACATTGTATTTAAGAGCTTATGACCTTTACTGTATGTCTATATATTACTATTTGCAATAAATAAATACCAAAAACAGCAAAAATAATTAATAAAAGAGACGTACCATATTTTACATATATACAAAAGAGAAACGTCTTTCTCGGCAATACTATAACTTATTGTTTTATTGCATTTAATAGAAAATGGGAATTTTGTGTGCAAACACGCTATCATTTTTACAGAAAATCCACAGAATTTATTACAGAGATTTTTAACAAATATTACTCACTTGTCAAAACGAAATCGTGGTGAGCCAGTAATCTGTTTTATGTATACAAATAAAAGGTGAAGAATTGCGATTTCGTTCAATCTACTGAATTTATAAATTGCATGCGTCCTTATAAAAAGACCAACAAACAATGTTGTAATGCTAGGACTTCCTCCATGGGAAATCTTTATTGTTCAAACAATTTATTTGCCTATTGACCCTGTAATTAAAGATCCATTTGTACGAGTTGTTTTCCCTAAAAGGGACTGATGAATGAAATTACAAGAGCAAATTTATCTGTGCGTAATCATTGTAATCTGATTTTTTTTCAAATTTTTAAATCACATTAAATCTTTTGTTAAGCTAAAAAAAACTTAGAATTTCAATAGTTACTTTTCATCAAAAATTGGTTAAAACGCCTATATATGTCATATATCACTTTTAACTTATCGTGCTTTGCATGGCAGCAGCTCATTTTGTACGATAACAACAGTCTATAATTGGCAGAGAGGAACAACTTGTATTAAATTTTTTTTAAAACGGAATCAAATCCATGTGAAGATGTAGGATTTTGAAAAAAAAGGAAGGGGGCGGGGGGGTGGGGGGGGGGGGGGGGGGGGGGGGTGGACTTAGCAAGCCAACTTTTGAAGTGATACTTGTGAAAGGTCTATAAAATTGCAAATGGAAACGGGGAATATGTCAAACTCGACCAAAGAGCAGAAAACAGCTCAAGGCCACCAATGGGTCTTCAACACAGCGAGAAAATCCCGCACCTGGAGGCGGGCTTTAGCTGGCCCCTTAACAAAAATGTATACTGGTTCAGAGAAAATGGACGTCACACTAAACTCCGAAACATATAAATGAACCAAAATTAAAAAAAAGCATACAAGACTAACAAAGGCCAGAGGTTTCTGACTTGGGACAGGCGCAAAAATGTAGCGGGGTTAAACATGTTTTGTGAGATCTCAACCCTCCTCCTATACCTATGCCAATGGAGAATAAACAAACCAGGGGCGGATCCAGCCATTTTTAAAAGGGGGTCCAACCATATGTCCCCATTCATAAGCATTGATAATAAAAAAGAGGGGTTCCAACCCCGGACCCCCCTTACTGGATCCGCCACTGCAAACACACAGTAATACGCACAATAAAACTCAGTTAAAAAGAAGTCCGACATAAATTAACAAAGATAAAATGGAGAATGGAAATGGGGAATATGTCAAAGAGACAACAACCCGACCAAAGAGCAGACAACAGCCGAAGGCCACCAATGGGTCTTCAATGCAGCGAGATTCTCTCGCACCCGGAGGTTGTCCACAGCTGGCCCCTAAATAAAATTGTGTGCTAGTTCAGTGAAAATGGACGTCACACTAAACTCCAAAACATATAAATGAACTAAAATTAAAAAACATACTAGACTAACAAAGGCCAGAGGCTCCTGACTAGGGACAGGCGCAAACATACGGCGGGGTTAAACATGCTTTGTGAGATCTCAACCCTCCCCCTATACCTCTAGCCAATGTAGAATAAAGAAACACATAGCAATACGCGCAGTTAAACTCAGTTTAAAAGAAGTCCGAGTCTTCTTTTAAGGACTTCTAGCAGTTACTGACTCCAGACCTCAATTAAAATGATTGAAAGATTATCTTCATCATATGAAAATTAATAACAATCGCTCCCGTTAGGGGTTTAGTTTCATACTATCATAAAATATACAAGAAGAACATAACCGTATCATACCAACATCTGGTTTTAGAATAGATGTGTTTATTTCTGATGCAAAGACTCTATGAGTGAATCAATATTAATTAAAAAAAATGCCATCTTTAATGACCTGACAACAGTATCGTAACTATATCCCTTCTGAATAAGTCTGTTTAAAGGTTTGGTTAGCTTTTGAGGTGAATGACGACATATTTGTGCTTTGTATAGAATATTACCATAAAAGATGGGATGTGAAAAACCTGAACGTATAAGATGTGTGCACGTTGATTTATATTTACGAATGATGTCTTTGTACCGATGATAAAATTTAGTAAATGTTTTGACAAGTTTGTGATATCGAAAACTCTGGTGTAATAATTTTTCAGTAATACAGAGATTTCTTTCGTTAAAATATAATACGTTGTTACAGACACGAGCGAATTGAACAAGTTGAGATGTATATAAACCGGCCATAAGATTGTGACAAGGGAACGTCACCATCTCAAAATGGATAATTAACAATAGGAAATGAAAAATCATTTCTTTTGTCGTAAATTTTGGTATTAAGCTTCCCGTTAAAGATATAGATATCAAGATTCAGGAAAGGGCAGTGTTCATTGGTAGTATTAGCTTTATTTAAAGTCAGTTCAGCAGGATAAATCTCTTTAGTGTACATACTAAAGTCGTCATTATTGAGAGCCAATATATCATCCAAATATTTAAAAGTGTTATTAAATTTTTGTATCAGATGTTGTTTCGATAGGTCTTTGCTGATTTTAGTCATACATTGTAACTCGTAACAATACAGAAACCGGTCTGCAATAAGTGGTGCACAGTTATTCCCCATTGGAATTCCGATAACTTGACGATACACGGAATCTCCATAGCGAACAAAAATGTTATCTAGTAAAATTTCAAGTGCAATTATCGTATCAAAGCAGGTCCAATTGACATAGTTCTTTTGTTTGTTGTTACTAAAAAAGACCTAAAAGAGTTTGAACATATATATTCGCATTCTGACTTTTTAAATTCCCATTTGATTAGGTATGTGAATTTTTATGTGAGATTATGAGGCATAGTGGTATATAGGGTAGAAAAATCAAAACTTTGAACAGATTCGAAATTACAAATATATGATCATACAATTTATCAAGTACTTCTAACGAATTTTTGACACTCCAAAAGTAATTAATTCAACTGTTTTCAAAGGCAATATTTGAACGATTTATTACCAGGTTTTTGGTTGTACCAAGTGTGCTAGTAAGTAGAATTGACAGCTTAATAGTGGAACAATGGCTTGAAGACGAAATAAATCTATATTTGTAAGGTGTTATGTGCAGCTTCGGAGCCAGTACATAGTTGGAACTTTCATGTTATTCGGTTCTGCTTGTAAAGAGGTAGCTAAAAGTTTATGTTTGTTACAGTTGTCATTTTCCGAAAATGGAGTCCGTTGGAATGTTGGTGAATTCATGATTTCTTTTGCAGCACCTCAATGTAAAATTTAGGTCAAACAATAATGATATCATTGACAGCCTTATCAGCCGGGACAAAAACCAATTCCTTGGCGACTTCTTTTAGCTTATGTTTGATACGAGAAATAGGGCTATTATGGTTGTTAATAGGAGTAAAATGTCCTCTCAAATGTTTAATACGAATATCAACTATGTTCATTACTGAATTAAAAAAAAAGAATCTAAGAATTTTTGTCAGCTTTTTCTCGTTTTATCCATTTCGTGCAGTAAGTACGGAGTGAGTCGTTGATGATGTTACGACACTCATTCCAATTAATAATTGACGGGGGACGATATATAGGTCCTTTACTAAGGAATGATTTCAACTCTCGATCATGGACGATTTTAAGGTCTCCTGTTATAACATGTGAACTGGGACCATAAATGTTTTTGGAATTACTGCAATTTCATGACGCAGGTGTATTGTCACTGATATTAACATCTTTACACACTTCGCTATAATTAAACACATATTTTCGGGTAGATTTTTTGTAAACATAACAAATAAGAGGGAGCTCATTATTATCAAAATAACCAGGAATTTGTTCTTTAACGGAATGTTCATTAAGAATATCTGCAATATTTACAAAATCAAAACCTTTTATTTTTTGACATATTTGATTTTAATGCATTTATCATATAAATGAAGTTCCATAAGGGGGCCCAGGCCCCCTGCCCCCTAAATCTGCATCTGCATCTGCAATTTGTAATTGGCAATTAGCTAGATTATTACTAATCAGTGTTATTGTCCCCGAGGGTTACTGAATAATAAAGATATGGTTACTTTGGTTTTGTTCCGATCGGCAGTAAAACCCCCACCTAAGTGGGGCATCCGTTTGGCTGTGCGGGATGTACAATTATACAGCCACGTCCGGTCATAATGGGGACGTTAAATCCGATGCCTCGTGTAGAGAGAGTGCCGAGTTCTCTGCTAGTTAAGAATCCTTGCAACAACTCTTTGAGGGGTCCGTGGGTAGCCTGTTGCAAGGCAAAATTTCCGTCCCTATCCAGTATACCCTCATTTTCCAATGGTATTCCGAATTTCCCGACATTTATCCGGGATGGTCCCTATGACAGGACCTTCCTATTGTATTTATTAATGATTTGTTCTCGTTCTGAACAAGCTTGAACTATTTTCCATCTGACATTAAGCAACCAACTATTAATCAATCAATCAATGTTATCATCAATGAATTAAAACCCAACTTCCAGGTAACAGTTAAAAAACTTTCTCTAGTGTTGTGTGGAATCATATTTGGATTCTATTTTTTTTTATTTTGACGATGTTTTTATTGCTCAGTCATCAGTTTTCTGGACACTTGTTTAATATATAACAAGATAAAAATGAAAAACAATGAATTGATAAGCACAACACTACTAGTACTCAGTCTGTCATGTTGTTGGAAAGGGAAACATGTGTGTTCTCTAATGTACAAATGATTTTAGTGAATAACCTTTATAAGATACGGTTGAAACTAAAATTTTGGAATGCTGAAAAAAGATTAAAATTTGTACAGAACATTCAAACCAAGAGAGCCTACAAAGGGGTTATAGTCATCTCTGCCTAATGGAGTTGCTACCTTAGTTTGATTAGAATCATATAACTTACGACCTACTAATGTACAATAAGAAGTATCCTTAATTCTGATTGCCAGCATGCTTCTCTTAATTTTTCATGGTATTCCTGAAATCTTTTTTCGAAAGTTTAACGGACGGCATCATGACTTAATTGACCGGTTTGGAATAATAACTTTAAAGATGGTCATTGGAACATATCAGGAGTTTACTTGTCCTTTGCAACAAGTATTGTACCTTTGGTATAGCCTTTCTGGGCATTCGAGTTTAGTCGCCTTTGGTTTTTGATGAGGTTTGTGTTGCCCAATCTTCAATTTTCTGAACATAGTTGAAAACTGGTATGCATATGTTGTCCTCTAATGAACAAGCGTTCATAGTCGCCGTTGTAAATTTTTATATATATAAATCTACAATATATGATGCGAGTGGGTAGCGATATTTTCCACTCAAGATTTTAATGTTAGCTATGAAGAGGGTACAAAATTGAGCCCAAAGGCAAACAGAATTAGAATTTGTATATCTTCCATATATGTTTCGGCCTTTCACGTATTAAATCCATACAACTGATTGGACACGGCGTTGGTACCAAAGAAGTTACCAATAATGTGGCATCATTAATGAATTACCATCGCGCAATGTATAAAAGGGCCTAATATGATTGTTAGTCTACTTTCATATACATTTTTTTTTCAGTGACAATGTATATACTCCTTGTCTATATTACATTTAGTTAATGTTAAAGTCAAATTTATTTCATATTTAATATAATTTATCATGTGTGTCATCGAAGGCGCTGTTACCAACGACGCTACCAACTACATGACATCAATAATGAATTCATGGTTTATTGCGCGAGACATCAGGCGCTGTACAAAAGTACCCAACAAGGCCTGAAAGTGTGTCCAGTTTGATTTATTTTTCGTTTTTCTCTCTCCAATGACAGTGTTTATAATCTCTACCTAAATTACACGATGTTAATGTCAAATTCAATTTAATAACATAATTAATCATTTTTGTTACCTATGTTACATGTATCAAGTACACCAAGGGGAAACTAGTTATCTTAATATTTTTAGTTATGAATCATCAATTCGATTTCCCCCTCTTATAAAGGAGAGTGAGAGAGAGATGTTGTCATGTCAATAGAAAAATATGTAGCATCTCGTGTGGTAAAACATCTCACGTTATCGATTTGTAACGGTAGAATTGAAGCATTTTTGAATCTTTTATGGTAATATTCTATGCAAAGCACAAAAATGTCGTCATTCACCTCAAAAGTTAACCAAACCTTTCAAAAGACTTATTCAGAAGGGATATATTTACGATACTGTTGTCAGGTAATTAAAGATGGCATATTTTGGAATTAATATTGATTCACTCATAGGGTCTTTGCATCGGAAATAAACACGTCTATTCTAAAACCAGATGTTGGTATGATACGGTTGTGTTTTTCTCGTATATTTTATGATAGTATGATACTAAACCCCTAACGGGAGGGATTGTACTTGATTTTCATATGCTGAAGACATAATCTTTCAATCAGTTTAATTGAGGTCCGGAGCTGGCATGTCAGTAACTGCTGTAGTCCTTTGTTAATTCATGTATCATTGTCATTTTGCTAAGTTTCTTCTGTTACCTATTCTGACATTGGACTCAGACTTCTTTTTAACTTAGTTTTACTGTGCGTATTGCTGTGTGTTTGTTTTTTATTCTACATTGTCTAGAGGTATAGGGGAGGGTTGAGATCTCACAAAACATGTTTAACCCCGTCGCATGTTTGCGCCTGTCCCAAGTCAGGAGCCTCCGGTCTTTGTTTGTCTTGTATGTTTTATTGATTTCATTTATATGTTTCGGAGTTTAGTATGACGTCCATTTTCTCTGAACTAGTACACATTTTTGTTTAGAGGACAGCTGAAGCCCGCTTCCGGGTGCGGGTTTTTCTTGCTGTGTTGAAGACCCATTAGTGGCCTTGGGCTGTTTTCTACTAATTGGTCGGGTTGTTGTCTCTTTGACACATTCCTCATTTCCATTCTCCATTTTATTGAGGAAGCCATATTTGTTTATTATTTTAACATTAACTATGAAAATATTTACATCGTGACAGACTTTGCACTTTTACTTGAAACATATCTTATTGACATGCAAAACAAGAAAAAAGAGTGGATAATGCGAGATCTTTACGACACGTTGAAGTGATTGCACTGTACTTGATTGTCACAATACATCGTAACATTAGTCTTATAATTGACCGCTTCAGAATCTAAAGGACTATGGGTAATTTTATTGTTCGTACCTCAAAATGAAAATAACGTCACGTCATTGGTTAAATTTTTATTGTTTAGGACATTTTTAACCAATCACGGCGTTTTGGTGTACACTTGTAAAAGCATTACCCCAAAAGAACTGTCGAGCGTGCCGATGAGAGTAGACGTGAAAATTTTTGCAGAGAGAATCCTTTAACATCATTGAAATTGTTTTGTCAAATTGGTTGCATGGATAAATATTAATATCCTTACAATACATCGTATATTTTATGTTTTGGATTATATTGTTTTGTCGAGGAAGGTTTCTGCAGATATTTTCAGGTTTGTTTGAGAAATGTGGTCAGATGGGATCCATTAGTACTTTCCATATGGAAAACCATCAGACCAATCTATTTGATGTCTGAGGGTTTTAGCTGTTCCCCTAATGGATCGGTAGTTTCTTTCCGAGATCCTTTATCGTAGGATTTTTGGCTTTCCTCTACCAGGGAAAACAGCTGGGCATTTAGCGGTATCGGTTTGGAATCCAAGTATGTCCTTACCGGTTTCCCGTTCGTTGCCTCGGCATTTGTGCGGCATCCGGGATGACCTAATCCTTTATTTCTTATATAATTGTTTATATATTTTGCATTTTTTATATTTTTGAGGATGAGCGAATCAGGTGAGTGGATGTGTTCGTATGTTTTATTGCATTGTACTTATTGTTTTTGGGGAAGGTTAACTTTCTGGTAGTAAGACTCGTCACGGCCAGGCTGGGAAACTGGGTAGGCAAATGCTCACATTAAATCTGTACCGATACAGTGTGTTAAATGTCCCCCTTTACACCATAACCCATTTTGGTGCTCCTACTAAAGGAGGAAGATACAGAACATACATACATACATTACCCAGAATGCATTAGATTCTGCAACGGCGAATTATTCAAGCTTGAAATTTGCAGGTCAAAATACTTTTGATTTTAAACACAAGACATCACTTTTAATAAAACTCTTCCTGGGAATAAATTACGCTATCATCATAATGTTCCCAATTACTTGAGTCTGAATAATACTCCGGATAATCAGCACTATAGGATCCATCGCTATAACTGCTGTCGTAACTCACATTATCATAAATATCTTCACTGCTTTGGTCATTATGATCATCTTTTCTTTTTAAAACATACATATCTGTTTGCTTTTTTGGCATTAATCTCACATTTTTTATGTCTTTAGAGCCATGATCATCCGAAGAATCGTAATCGTAGTACTCCCTACTCGATCTACCGTCCCAAGTATAATCAGTATATTCATACGTGGCATAATCTTCTTGTTCCTTTTTAACTGTTTTAATTGTCTTTTGTTTAAGAACTTCACGGACTGGTTGGGAACTACGAATGTATTCAGATGAAACCGAGTCTGAGGTGTCATAGCTTTCAGATCTATAACCGCATCCACTATCATCTGACGAATCACAATCAACACTGTCTTGATAAGATGATTCCTCAGAGTAGTGTACACCTTTCGTAAAGGATTTCCCCACTGTTTTGTTGTGATTTGCATTAACTGTTTTCATTTCATTTGGTTTACGGTTGGAGAATTTCAACTTCGACAGTATTTCAGTACTTATATATTTCTTGTTTGGATCAGATGTTAAATCGTCATCACTTTCCCACTCAATGCTGTCTGAACTTTCCTTATCACTGTTGACTGCATCCAAATCGGACCACTTTTTCCTTTGAAGTGTTTTTTTAATTGCGTTTAACTGTGAATCCTTAGGATTATTTGGTTTAGTTAACGATGTACGGTTGAGGAATTTCAACCTTGACAATATTTCATTACTTTTAGGTTTCCTGTTTAGATCAGATGTTAAATCGTCATCACTTTCCCAATCACTGCTGTCTGAATCAAAATCGGACCACTTTTTCCTTTGAACTGTATTTTTAATTGCGTTTAACTGTGAATCCTTAGGATTATTTGGTTTAGTTAACGGTGTACGGTTGGGGAATTTCAACCTTGACAATATTTCATTACTTTTAGATTTCCTGTTTCGATCAGATGTTAAATCGTCATCATTTTCCCAATCACTGCTGTCTGAATCAAAATCAGACCACCTTTTCCTTTGAAGTGTTTTTTTAATTGCGTTTGACTGTGAATCCTTCGGATTATTTGGTTTACTTGGGCTTAAATGGGAAGCCGTAGGATCTTTGGGTTTAGCTGGGCTTAACTGTGAAGCCTTAGAATTATTAGGTTTAGTTGCGCTAATTAACTGGGGACGTTTCAATTTCAATGCACTTGTCGGTTTTCTTGGTGTGCTTGGACTTAATCGCATCACGTCTGAATCGTCTTCGTCGGAATTACTTGGTCTAGTTGTCATTCTTCGCCGATATAGTTTCATTGTAATGGGGCTAAAACCTACCTCTTCCTCATTTTCCTTTTCACCATCTGTACTCTTCAGCACAGCATTTTTACTTGTTCTTGCATTTGCACTTTCACTTAAAAATTCAACTCTATTTTCCATTTGACCAGTCCTATCGATACCACCATCTGTACTCTTCAGCACAGCATTTGCACTTGTTCTTGCATTTGCACTTTCACTTAAAAATTCAACTCTATTTTCCATTTGACCAGTCCTATCGATACCACCATCTGTACTCTTCAGCACAGTATTTGCACTTGTTCTTGCATTTGCACTTTCACTTAGAAATTCAACTCTATTTTCCATGTGATCAGTCCTATCGATACCACCATCGTTCTCTTCATTTTTTCCAGATTGTGTAATTTGATTATCATTATTCGTTAAAGGACTCCCTCGTGGTGATGTCGTCTTTTTCACGGTGGCAGTATTCGAAAAAGCTTTTGACACATCTGGTATGTGCGATACAGATATCTGATACAACACTCCCTTATCATTATTATTATTATCATTAATTACGATACTTGCTTCGTTTGTTACAATCTCTACTGCATTGTTTACGGGACCTCTAGTTGTAATAGGGTTTACTGCACTGTTATCGGAATTTTCCATCTCTGATACAATGTTTACTGCATAGTTTATATGACTACCTCTATTTGGTACAATCTGTACTGCATTGTTTACGGGACTACCTTTAGTTGTAGTAGGGTTTACTGCACTGTTATCAGAATTTTCCATCTCTGATACAATGTTTACTACATTGTTAACGGGACTACCTCCATTTGGTACAATCTGTACTGCATTGTTTACGGGACTACCTCTAGTTGTAGTAGGGTTTACTGCACTGTTGACGGAATTTTCCATCTCTGATACAATGTTTACTGCCTTGTTGACGGAATTACCTCTGTTTGGTACAATATGTACTGCATTGTTTACGGGACTACCTTTAGTTGTAGTAGGGTTTACTGCACTGTTATCAGAATTTTCCATCTCTGATACAATGTTTACTACATTGTTAACGGGACTACCTCCATTTGGTACAATCTGTACTGCATTGTTTACGGGACTACCTCTAGTTGTAGTAGGGTTTACTGCACTGTTGACGGAATTTTCCATCTCCGATACAATGTTTACTGCCTTGTTGACGGAATTACCTCTGTTTGGTACAATATGTACTGCAATGTTTACGGGACTACCTCTAGTTGTAGTAGGGTTTACTGCACTGTTGACGGAATTTTCCATCTCTGATACAATGTTTACTGTATAATTTACAGGACTACCTCTATTTGGTACAATCTGTACTGTATTGTCTACGTGACTACTTTTAGTTGTAATAGGGTTTACTGCACCTTTAACGGAATTTCCTATCTGTGATACAATGTTTACTGCCTTGTTGGCGGAATTACCTCTGTTTGGTACAATATGTACTGCATTGTTTACGGGACTACTTCTAGTTGTAGTAGGGTTTACTGCACTGTTGACGAAATTTTCCATCTCTGATACAATGTTTACTGCATAGTTTACAGGACTACCTCCATTTGGTACAATCTGTACTGCATTGTCTACGGGACTACTTCTAGTCGTAATAGGGTTTACTGCACTGTTAACGGAATTTCCCATCTGTGATACAATGTTTACTGCCTTGTTGACGGAATTACCTCTGTTTGGTACAATCTTTACTGCATTGTTTACGGGACTACCTCTAGTTGTACTAGGGTTTACTGTACGGTTTACGGAATTTCCCATCTGTGATGCAGTGTTTGCTGCATTGTTTACGGGACTACCTCCATTTGGTACAATCTTTACTGCATTGTTTATGGGACTACCTCTAGTTGTAATAGGGTTTACTGTACTGTTAACGGAATTTCCCATCACTGATACAATGTTTACTGCCTTGTTGACGGAGCTACCTCTGTATGGTACAATCTTTACTGCATTGTTTACGGGACTACTAGTAACTGTTACAATATTTACTGCACTGTTTAAGGAATTTCTCATCTGTGATGCAGTGTTTGCTGCATTGTTTACGGGACTACTTCTAGTTGTAATAGGGATTACTGCATTGTTTACGGAATTCCGTCTCTTTGATACTGCATTGTTTATAGAACTTCGTCTCTTTGATACTGCATTGTTTACAGAACGTCCTCTCTTTGATACTGCATTGTTTACGGAACTTCCTCTCTTTGATACTGCATTGTTTATAGAACTTCGTCTCTTTAATACTGCATTGTTTACAGAACTACCTCTATTTGATACTGCATTGCTTACGGAGCTACCTCTCTTTAATACTGCATTGTTTACGAAGCTACCTCTCTTTGATACTGCATTGTTTACAAAATTACCTCTCTTTGATACTTTATTTTTTACAAAACTTCCTCTCTCTGATACTGCATTGTTTACAGAACTACTTCTCTTTGATTCTGTGTTGTTTACGGAGCTACCTCTAAACGACACAGACCGAGTTTTTACTGCATTGTTTACAGAACTTCGTCTCTTTGATACTGCATTGTTTACAGAACTACCTCTCTTTGACACTGCATTGTTTACAAAACTTCGTCTCTTTGGTACTGCATTGTTTACAGAACTACCTCTTTTTGATACTGCATTGTTTACAGAACTACCTCTCTTTGATACTGCATTGTTTACAGAACTACCTCTCTTTGATACTGCATTGTTTACGGAGCTACCTCTAAACGACACAGACCGAGTGTTTACTGCATTGTTTTTTGGTACAATCATTACTGCATTGCTTACGGAATTCCCTCTGTCTGATACAGTCTTTACTGCTTTTTTAATAACGGTAGGAGATGTCGACCCTTCTGTTTTGCTTGATTCAGATACTCGATGGAACATTTTCATATTTTTATTATTAGCGCCATTTAAAAGCACATTTCCATTTGATACAGGAAATAGTTCCTTCTTTTTACTTTTCATTTCATTGATATCCTCTTTTAACGTTCCGTTCGCATTTTTGATACTGTTTCTGAATCTTAGTTTCCTTACAAAACTTCGTCTCTTTGGTACTGCATTGTTTATAGAACTACCTCTCTTTGATACTGCATTGTTTACAGAACTACCTCTCTTTGATACTGCATTGTTTACGGAGCTACCTCTAAACGACACAGACCGAGTGTTTACTGCATTGTTTTTTGGTACAATCGTTACTGCATTGCTTACGGAATTCCCTCTGTCTGATACAGTCTTTACTGCTTTTTTAATAACGGTAGGAGATGTCGACCCTTCTGTTTTGCTTGATTCAGATACTCGATGGAACATTTTCATATTTTTATTATTAGCGCCATTTAAAAGCACATTTCCATTTGATACAGGAAATAGTTCCTTCTTTTTACTTTTCATTTCATTGATATCCTCTTTTAACGTTCCGTTCGCATTTTTGATACTGTTTCTGAATCTTAGTTTCCTTGTAGATCGTACACGTGGTCGAATCTGTCTTTTATTCAGTTCGTTTTGAGACTTCAGAATTTTTTCTAAATTTCCAGGTTTGCGCTCTATAAATGGCCTTCTTGTTGCACGTCTAGTATCATGGCGTACTGGAACTGAAATAGACAAAAAATCTTGTATGTGCCTATGTCATAATATGGATGAAATTGAAGGCGTAGATAACTTACCAATTTAAACAATTTTAAGTACCAAAATATAGTTTAAGAAAAGACTTACTATTTCAGAACATGTGTATCTTGATAAATACCATTATTCACCACATGATAACTAAAAGTCCAGGATGAATGTGCAAAATTCACGAAAAGACTGGTGAATCTCAGAATTCCCCAAATGATATAGGTTTTTTGCATTAATATTAATGAAAAGCGTCCCGAGTAGATTTTTTTTATTGCACGAGCTTATCTAATGGTGTCACCTAGCGATACGGGAATTAACGGGAGATAATAAACATGCTCAGTTTCCTGAACTAAATCTGTTTTGCTTTAGATTGCGTGACAAGTCATTGACGAACCGTCGTTTGGGAAGGAAATGTGTGCTTAAGCCACATACACGGTTAAAACAATACATATATATATGTGGTGCAAAATGTCGAGGGAAATTTAGTGATCATTGAAAAGAAATAATGGTAGTATGTCATTAGTTTAGAAAATGATATTTTGGAAATATTACTTATACAGCTTTTACCTTTATGAATAAATCAACTGTCTGTCAATATATGTTTACACAACTTACTACAAAGTTTTGTTTGTATAAAAAATCGGATCCAACCTGGGACTATTATACTAACTATTAGTATAATAGTCCCAGATCCTACCGATGGGCTTAAAAAAAGAAGGAAAAATTGCACAAAAGGTGTTGTAAAATATCAGCGGAAATCTTTAACATACTTTATAACAATGTATTAAAAATTCAGTCAGTGGAGCGCGAAAGTAGTCAAGACAGTATTATTTTTTCAGGGGTTGACAGGATACACGTAATCGTTATTAGTTTTAACTTCAAGGTTCTTATGCAAGCTAATTTAATAAACAATGATTTTATACAGTTGTTTTTTTTTTTCACCTTACATAGGGCTTTATTTCTGATCTTATTTCTGTGTACACAATTCTGATTCTACATATTTCACCTTTATCATTATTAGGAAATCAGTTTGGACGATTCCATATACCATTATGCTTTAGGTTTTTTTTTTTAGCTTCAGTGTCGAGTTAATGTATATTATTAAGCGTTGTCTGCGAGAAATAAATATTTTTTTTCTGATAGGGTAACTAAATTCAAAACCAATATAAATGTAGTTAACATATATATTTTATTTTACTGAGTAAATTGAACGGAATGTGAATGGCAACATAGACCTAAAATTCTTTTTGGTTTATCCCGTTTAACACAGTCATGACATTTGCGCGGGAATTTCTTCCATTGACATCGTAATATAATTGACTTTGGATTATTGTTATTTTTAGATGTAATGTGATATTATTTGTCTCTTCTTTTATAGTACATAGTTTGACGTCAGGTTTGTACACATGAAGTCTCTAGTCTACTCAGAACTGAAGTATATAGATTTACTCATTCTCAATTTTATGTACTGCATATCCCATCTTGTCGTCCTTCCCTACGTCGCCCTGCTCAGTCGCTCCGTAATTCTCGTATCACGGCGTTGAGACGAGAGCAGGCATTATCAGCAACGTCATAATGTCTGCATGAGGAGAAGTTATCAGCGACGTCACAATGTGTGAGGAGACGTTATCAAGCTTGCTTTCGTCTAGGTCAAAAAGCCAGTTATAGAACGTTAAACAGATGATCAGGTTTTCTTCGTATAGATATCGTAAAATATCAGCCGCTCGACACAGTGTGGTTCGTTTTAGCTCGGTTGCTGCGCTCACTCGCCAAAAAGGTTCATTGTGGCTCGCTTCCTGATATTTTACGATATCAATGTATAGGAAAGCCGATAATCTATACATACATATATGTCAACCAAAAGTTATCAGCGACGTCACAATGTGTGAGGAGATGTTATTAAGCTTGCTTTCGTCTAGCGTAAAAACTGTCTTAGGGAGGTGAAAAAGACCAGCAATAGAACGATAAACAGATAATCGTTTTTTTTTCGTATAGATATCGTAAAATATTATTAACTCGTATTTTTTAACTAATTTGATTCGTTCAGAGATAGTCACATGTTAAACTATATTTTCGAAGGTAGAGAGAAAACGGCGGATAGCAAAAAGCATATTGCACACCAAAAAGCATATTGCACGGTTATTTTTAGAATATCTAAAAACCGATATATACTTTGTGTGACGTCATGTAATGAATTTCATGATATTGTTTTATAAAAAAATATCTATGATCGATTATTTGAAGAAAAAAAATCTTCATATACATAAGATGTAAAAAAAAAAAAGTAAATGAAATAAACTTATATGTTGTTATTGTCTAGGAGACAATATGATATCTATAAAATTCCAACAAAATCAAAAAATCAAATCAGGATTTTGATACAAATATGGTCGGAAATTAATAATATAACAATTATAGCCTATTGATGAGTTCAATACAGGATATATCGACCCAAAGAAGTATATCGACCTCGGACTTTGTCCTCAGTTAATATACTTCTTTCAGGTCAATATATCCTTGTATCGACCTCATACAAAGGCTATAATTGTATACTATCAATGTGTAGAAAAGCCGATAATCTATACATATATATATTTATATATGTCAACCAAAAAATACAACTGATTTACACTACAACTGTTGAAAAGACCTTTATGTATATATATCTAATCTCATTCATTCTAGTCCGTTCAACTGGCAAAATCAACGGAATCAGTGAACTCTTAACAGAAATCATCATGGACTATTCCATACACCAATATCTTTTAGCCATTTAGGGGTCGTTTGCATTCAAAGTCAAGTTATAAATGTATGTTACTTAGTGGGTTTATTTTGAGAAAAAAGAACTCAATTTCCTGATAATTCAAAGTCAAGTTATAAATGTATGTTACTTAGTGGGTTTATTTTGTGAAAAAAGAACTCAATTTCCTGATAATTCAAAGTCAAGTTATAAATGTATGTTACTTAGGGGGTTTATTTTGTGAAAAAAGAACTCAATTTCCTGATAATTCAAAGTCAAGTTATAAATGTATGTTACTTAGGGGGTTTATTTTGTGAAAAAAGAACTCAATTTCCTGATAATTCAAAGTCAAGTTATAAATGTATGTTACTTAGTGGGTTTATTTTGTGAAAAAAAGAACTCAATTTCCTAATAATTCAAAGTCAAGTTATAAATGTATGTTACTTAGTGGGTTTATTTTGCGAAAAAATAACTCAATTTCCAGATAAACTTTCTTAATACAGAAACATTATATATAGTTAACGTTTTCTTTATATTTTGCTGTGTCAAAATGACTTAAATATAAAGGACAGTATATAGCCCTAAAAATGGTATATCACGTAATACACATGATATTTAAGCAGGAAAGACTGCCATTATAAGTTATATGGTTCGCTACTGACCCCCCTACGGATCCATAGAGGGTTAGTAAAATCCATAGGGGGTGAGGCCGAAGGCCGAATCTCCTATGGATTTTATTCACCCTCTATGGTCCGTAGGGGGTCAGTAGTCAACCGTATGACGAATTTATCGCCCGCGAGATTTTTTTCCGCTGTGTTTTGTAGAGAAATAAACAATTAAACACAACAACATTAATAGGTGACGTCACTATTAACAGTAGACGTGACGTCATGAACCCCCTATGAAATTTACTAACCCCCTACGGATCCATAAGGGGTCACCACGTGACGGCGTTAAACCAATCACAACGTGATAATTTACCGGCGGTGCGATAATGGAATATATCACCACTACGACAATAAATGTCTTTTAATTTGATATCCTTCCACTAAAGTCATTCAAGTAGAACGGCTAACATTATCAACATTTGATGTCTGGTTAATGTCCACAATTTGGAATATATATGATATAGATATACTGTTGAGTCTGTTCCCAGATGCCCGAGATGGACATCAATTTTTATTATTTTTTGAAAATAAGTGGATCCATCCTTTAGAAAAGTTGTTCCTATGGTAATGAATCCGCCCCCCCCCCCCCCTTATTAATTAGTTGAATTGTAAATCAGGACATTACTTTTCTCAATTGAATTGTTGCATACTTATCATGTCGGGACTGTTTTCCTCATTTTTGAAGGCTGTATGGTTGCCTATAATTGCTTTGTCATTTGAACCTCTGTGGATAGTTGTCTCATTGGCAATCATACGACATATTCTAATTTTTATATGGATCCATCCTTTAGAAAAGTTGTTCCGAATGTAATGAATCCCCTCACCCTTTATAAGTTAAAAAGGCTACATCTTCTTTTTCCGTCTTTTACAACTTTTTTTTTGGTGGTGGTGGGGGGGGGGGGGGGGGGGGGTTCCCAACCTGTTGTTTAGTTGTAAATCAGGCCATTACTTTTCTCAATTGAATTGTTGCATACTTTACATGTCGGGACTGTTTTCCTAATTTTTTTAAGGCTGTATGGTTGCCTATAATTACTTTGTTATTTGAACCTCTGTGGATAGTTGTCTCATTGACAATCATACCACATATTCTGATTTTTATATGGATTGCAGACCTGAAAAAGATGTTCAAAGTTGAATATGCTGCAAACTTCAAACAAACTACTACAACTGATTTACCATGAAACTGTTGAGCAGAACTATATATATATTTGATCTCATTCCAGTCCTTATACCTCTGTCAATCAACAGAACAAATGCAAATAATTATGATGTCTTGAAACGTTTTTTAATAAATCTCGAATCTTACCAATATAAACATGTTGGGCTCTTTTACAGCCGAATATACAGTATGGGGTTTTCTCATTTTTGAAGGCGGTATGGTTGCCTTTAATTTCTTACATCCATTTTATTTGAATTTAAGGGAATAGTTGTTATTTATATAAACAAATCCCACGTCGATATATTACATGTACAAGAATCAGACATCAACCCAACGCCACACTGGATGTAATTGAAAGACATTTAGAGGTCAATATACAGTCTCGAACAATAGACACACAATAAGAAAAAA